TGCTGATGCTGATGCTGATGTTGATGCTGATGCTCATGCTGATGCTAATGCTGATGCTCATGCTGATGCGCTGATGCTGATGCGCTAATGCTGATGCGCTGATGCTGATGCTGATGCTGATGCGCTGATGCTGATGCTGATGCTGATGCTGATGCGCTGATGCTGATGCTGATGTGCTGATGCTGATGCGGATGCGCTGATCCTGATGCTGATGCTGATGCTGATGTTGATGCTGATGCTGATGCGCTGATGCTGATGCTGATGCGCTGATGCTGATGCTGATGCTGATGCTGATGCTGATGCTGATGAGCTGATGCTGATGCTGATGCTGATGCTTATGCTGATGCTGATGCTGATGCTGATGCTGATGCGCTGATGCTGGTGCTGATGCGCTGATGCTGATGCTGATGCTGATACTAATGCTGATGCTGATGCTGACGCTGATGCACTGGTGCTGATGCGCTGATGCTGATGCTGATGCGCTGATGCTGATGCTGATGCTTATGCGCTGATGCTGATGCTGATGCTGATGCGAATGCTGATGCTGATGTGCTGATGCTGATGCTGATGCTGATGCTAAAGCTGATGCTGATGCTGATGCTGATGCGCTGATGCTGATGCTGATGCTGATGCTGATGAGCTGATGCTGATGCTGATGCTTATGCTGATGCTGATGCTCATGCTGATGCTCTGATGCTGGTGCTGATGCGCTGATGCTGATGCTGATGCTGATACTAATGCTGCTGCTGACGCTGATGCACTGGTGCTGATGCGCTGATGCTGATGCTGATGTGCTGATGCTGATGCTGATGCTTATGCGCTGATGCACTGGTGCTGATGCGCTGATGCTGATGCTGATGCGCTGATGCTGATGCTGATGCTTATGCGCTGATGCACTGGTGCTGATGCGCTGATGCTGATGCTGATGCGCTGATGCTGATGCTGATGCGCTGATGCTGATGCTGATGCTTATGCGCTGATGCTGATGCTGATGCTGATGCGCTGATGCTGATGCTGATGCTTATGCGCTGGTGCTGATGCGGATGCTGATGCTGATGCTGATGCGCTGATGCTGATGCTGATGCTGATGCTGATGAGCTGATGCTGATGCTGATGCTGATGCGCTGATGCTGATGCTGATGCTGATGCTGATGCGCTGATGCTGATGCTGATGCGCTGATGCTGATGCGCTGATGCTGATGCTGATGAGCTGATGCTGATGCGCTGATGCTGATGCTGATGCTGATGCTGATGCTGATGCGCTGATGCTGATGCTGATGCTGATGCGCTGATGCTGATGCTGATGCTGATGCTGATGCTGATGCGCTGATGCTGATGCTGATGCTGATGCGCTGATGCTGATGCTGATGCTGATGCGCTGATGCTGATGCTGATGCTGATGCTGATGCGCTGATGCTGATGCTGATGCGCTGATGCTGATGCTGATGCTGATGCGGATGCTGATGCTGATGCTGATGCTGATGCTGATGCTGATGCTGATGCTGATGAGCTGATGCTGATGCTGATGCTGATGCTGATGCTGATGCTGATGCTGATGCTGATGCGCTGATGCTGGTGCTGATGCGCTGATGCTGATGCTGATGCTGATGCTGATACTAATGCTGATGCTGATGCTGACGCTGATGCACTGGTGCTGATGCGCTGATGCTGATGCTGATGCGCTGATGCTGATGCTGATGCTTATGCGCTGATGCACTGGTGCTGACGCGCTGATGCTGATGCTGATGCTTATGCGCTGATGCTGATGCTGATGCTGATGCGAATGCTGATGCTGATGTGCTGATGCTGATGCTGATGCTGATGCTAAAGCTGATGCTGATGCTGATGCTGATGCGCTGATGCTGATGCGCTAACGCTGATGCGCTGATGCTGATGCTGATGCTGATGCGCTGATGCTGATGCGCTAATGCTGATGCGCTGATGCTGATGCTGATGCTGATGCTGATGCGCTGATGCTGATGCCGATGCTGATGCGGATGCTGATGCTGATGCTGATTCTGATGCTGATGCGCTGATGCTGATGCTAATACTGATGCGGATGCTGATGCTGATGCTGATGCGCTGATGCTGATGCTGATGCTGATGCTGATGCGCTGATGCTGATGCTGATGCTGATGCTGATGCTGATGCACTGATGCTGATGCTGATGCTGATGCTGATGCGCTGATGCTGATGCTGATGCTGATGCTGATGCGCTGATGCTGATGCTGATGCGCTGATGCGCTGATGCTGATGCTGATGCTGATGCTGATGCTAATGCTGATGTTGATGCTGATGCTGATGCTGATGCTGATGCTGATGCTGATGCTGATGCTGATGCTGATGCGCTGATGCTAATGCTGATGCTGATGCTGATGCTGATGCGCTGATGCTTATGCTGATGCTGATGCGCTGATGCTGATGCTGATGCTGATGCGCTGATGCTGATGCGCTGATGCTGATGCTGATGTTGATGCTGATTCTGATGCTGATGCTGATGCTGCTGCGCTGATGCTGATGCGCTGATGCTGATGCTGATGCTGATGCTGATGCTGATGCTGATGCGCTGATGCTGATGCTGATGCTGATGTTGATGCTGATGCTCATGCTGATGCTAATGCTGATGCTCATGCTGATGCGCTGATGCTGATGCGCTAATGCTGATGCGCTGATGCTGATGCTGATGCTGATGCGCTGATGCGGATGCTGATGCTGATGCTGATGCTGATGCGCTGATGCTGATGCGCCAATGCTGATGCGCTGATGCTGATGCTGATGCTGATGATGATGCTGATGCGCTGATGCTGATGCTGATGCGGATGCTGATGCTGATGCTGATGCTGACGCGCTGATGCTGATGCTAATACTGATTCTGATGCTGATGCTGATGCTGATGCTGATGCGCTGATGCTGATGCTGATGCTGATGCTGATGCTGATGCGCTGATGCTGATGCTGATGCTGATGCTGATGCTGATGCTGATGCGCTGATGCTGATGCTGATGTTGATGCTGATGCTGATGCTGATGCTAATGCTGATGTTGATGCTGATGCTGATGCGCTGATGCTAATGCTGATGCTGATGCTGATGCGCTGATGCTGATGCTGATGCTGATGCTTATGCTGATGCTGATGCTGATGCCGATGCTGATGCTGATGCGCTTATGCTGATGCTGATAGTAATGCTGATGCTGATGCTGATGCGCTGATGCTGATGCGCTGATGCTGATGCGCTGATGCTGATGCTGATGTTGATGCTGATGCTGATGCTGATGCTGATGCTGATGTTGATGCTGATGCTGATGCTGATGCTAATGGTGATGCTTATGCTGATGCTGCTGCTGATGCGCTGATGCTGATGCGCTAATGCTGATGCGCTAATGCTGATGCGCTGATGCTGATGCTGATGCTGATGCGCTGATGCTGATGCGCTGATGCTGATGCGGATGCTGATGCTGATGCTGATGCTGATGCTGATGCTAACGCGCTGATGCTGATGCTAATACTGATGCTGATGCTGATGCGCTGATGCTGATGCTGATGCTGATGCTGATGCTTATGCGCTGATGCTGATGCTGATGCTGATGCTGATGCGCTGATGCTGATGCGCTGATGCTGATGCTGATGCTAATGCTGATGCTGATGCTGATGCTGATGCTGATGCGCTGATGCTGGTGCGCTGATGCTGATGCTGATGCTCATGCTGATGCGCTGATGCTGATGCTGATGCTGATGCTGATGCTGATGCTGATGCGCTGATGCTGATGCTGATGCTGATGCTGATGCTGATGCTGATGCTGATGCTGATGCGCTGATGCTGATGCTGATGCTGATGCTGATCCTGATGCTAATGCTGATGTTGATGCCGATGCTGATGCGCTGATGCTAATGCTGATGCTGATGCTGATGCTGATGCGCTGATGCTGATGCTGATGCTGATGCTTATGCTGATGCTGGTGCTGATGCTGATGCTGATGCTGATGCGCTGATGCTGATGCGCTAATGCTGATGCGCTGATGCTGATGCTGATGCTGATGCTGATGCGCTGATGCTGATGCCGATGCTGATGCGGATGCTGATGCTGATGCTGATTCTGATGCTGATGCGCTGATGCTGATGCTAATACTGATGCGGATGCTGATGCTGATGCTGATGCTGATGCTGATGCTGATGCTGATAGTAATGCTGATGCTGATGCTGATGCTGATGCGCTGATGCTGATGCTGATGCTGATGCTGATGCTGATAGTAATGCTGATGCTGATGCTGATGCGCTGATGCTGATGCGCTGATGCTGATGCTGATGCTGATGTTGATGCTGATGCTGATGCTGATGCTGATGCTGATGCTAATGGTGATGCTTATGCTGATGCTGATGCTGATGCGCTGATGCTGATGCGCTAATGCTGATGCGCTGATGCTGATGCTGATGCTGATGCGCTGATGCTGATGCTGATGCTGATGATGATGCTGATGCGCTGATGCTGATGCGGATGCTGATGCTGATGCTGATGCTGATGCTGACGCGCTGATGCTGATGCTAATACTGATGCTGATGCTGATGCTGATGCGCTGATGCTGATGCTGATGCTGATGCTGATGCGCTGATGCTGATGCTGATGCGCTGATGCTGATGCTGATGCGCTGATGCTGATGCTGATGCGCTGATGCTGATGCTGATGCTGATGCGCTGATGCTGATGCGCTGATGCTGATGCTGAGGCTAATGCTGATGCTGATGCTGATGCTGATGCGCTGATGCTGGTGCGCTGATGCTGATGCTGATGCTGATGCTGATGCTGATGCGCTGATGCTGATGCTGATGCTGATGCTGATGCGCTGATGCTGATGCTGATGCTGATGCTGATGCTGATGTTCATGTTCATATTATGTTTGTATGATAAAAAACACCACTAATGACCATTCCCTTTCTCCATCCCTCCCTCCCTCCCGCCCTCCGTCCCTCCCTGCTTCCCTGCCATGCGGCCATGGCATTGCATCAGGACCACTGCCTAGTGGATCTTCTGTATCGCTGGCAGGAGGGGGTTCTGCCTGTCGACATTCACTGCGTCATCAGGCAAGCACCTGCTGCACCCGCTGCACCCTCTGCACCCTCTGCACCTGCAACCTGCGCCCTCCGCCCTGCTCTCTGCACTTTGCAGCACGAACCCACGCATGCACGCGCTTCGGGCCTGTGCTTTCCCTTCCCATGCGTCTCAAACCTTTCTTCTGCGGGCATATTTCTCAATAGCCTCATCGCACTGCCATTCAGAAAGCAGCAACACCTCGCCATCGCACTCATCCCCTCCCTTCCTCCCTCCCATCCTATCCGCCTCACACCACCACGCACCACTGCACACCACCACACACCACCATACACCGCCACACACCACAGCAACCACCCGCGCAGTGAGAACACGCACGTGCGGCGCTTCCTGGATCGCCATGGCATCCCCTTCCACCACCTGCCCGTTGACCCCAGCACGGGCAACAAGCGAGAGGATGACATTCTACAACTCGTGCATGGCTCCCACACTGACTTTCTGGTTCTGGCCAGATACATGCAGGTCCGTGGGTGGCGGGCGGTGGTGAAGGGTGGTGAGGGGTGGTGATGGGCGCTGGCAGGTGCTGGAATGTGCTGGTGTGCGCCTGGGTGGGGTGGGGTCCATCCATCCGTGTCACACGGCACGGCATCCCCTTCCACCACCTGCCTGTGGACCCCGCCGCCACGGGCAAGGCAACAAGCGCGAGGATGATGACATTCTGCAACTTGTGCATGGCTCCCACACTGACTTTCTCGTGCTCGCCAGATACATGCAGGTGAGGGGTGGTGATGGGTGGTGAGGGATGGCTAGGGGTGGGTGCTGACGGGTGTTGGAGTGTCTCGGGGTGTGCTGGGGTGCGTGCATCTGGGTCGGTCGGGCCCATTGATGATTTTTGGGGCACCTCAAAAATCGCCAGGGCCCCACGCCTCAGAAATCGCAGGGGTGCGGTGCGGTGCGTGTGTTTGGGTCGGTCGGGTCGGGCCCATTGATGTCACTCGTCGTTTGCCCACTCGTCTCACTCACCATCTTGTGTGTGTGTGTGTGCGTGTGTGTGTGTGTGTGTGTGTGTGTGTGTGTGTGTGTGTGTGCGTGTGCGTGCGCGTGCGCGTGCGCGTGCGCGTGCGCGTGCGCGTGCGCGTGCGCGTGCGCGTGCGCGTGCGCGTGCGCGTGCGCGTGCGCGTGCGCGTGCGCGTGCGCGTGCGCGTGCGCGTGCGCGTGCGCGTGCGCGTGCGTGTGCGTGTGCGTGTGTGTGTGTGTGTGTGTGTGTGTGTGTGTGTGTGTGTGTGTGTGTGTGTGTGTGTGTGTGTCTCCTGCTGCCATTTGCCTCTGCTGTACCTCCCCCATTTCTCTCCTTCCCTCGCCCCGTGCCAGGGGCGTAATCAACATCCACAAAAGCTCCCTGTGCTGGATCCAGCAAAGCTCTTTCTTGTCTTACCCATCACCTTCCCCTCCCCTACCTCTCCCCCGTCCTCCCCTCATCCGGGCCCGCAACACCTCCAGGTGCTATCGCCCACGCTCCTGGCGTCCTACGGCTGCAACATCATCAACAATCACCACAGCCGTCCTCTTCCCCTCCCCAATCCTCCACTCATCCTCCTCCCCACTTCCTTCCCCCCAGATCCCTCCAGGTGCTATCGCCCACGTTCCTGGCGTCCTACGGGCGAGACATCATCAACATTCACCACGGGCTGCTGCCCTCCTCTCCCTTCCCCTCCCCCTCCACTCCTGCTCTTTCATCCTGACCCATCCCATCCTCCCCCAATATCGCCCCAGGTGCTATCGCCCAGGTTCTTGGCCTCGTACGGGCGAGACATCATCAACATTCACCACGGGCTGCTGCCCTCCTTCAAAGGCGCCAACCCCTACCTTCAGGTCCCCACTGCCCCCTCCCTTCCCACCACGACACAACACTCGCACCACTCACAGCAATTGCATGCTAATCTGTTTCAAAACCCCATCTGAGGTTGCTTGCATGGGGACACCTGAGCGTGTTCTGTTCTTGACGCATCGGCACACACGCCGTGACTGCAGCTTTGTGTGTGCCCGTGGCAGCATGTGACCGTGTGTGCAGACCATTGGGTGATTGCAGAGCAATTGTAGGGCATCGCCCTCCTATCATCCCCCAATCTAACCTGCATGCAAGATACCTTTGTACCGTTCTCTTCTATGGGTATGCCTGTCTGCCTGCGTGCGAATTTTTTTTTTCTCCCTTCCCTTGTTATTGTGCCCTCACAGGCGTTCAAGGCGGGTGTGAAGCTGATAGGAGCCACGAGCCACTTTGTCACGGACGAGCTTGACTGTGGGCCCATCATTGAACAACTGGTGAGAGTGCATGAGGGAGTAAGAGAGGGGAGAGAGAGGAATAACTTCTGAGGTGTCTTAAAAAGACAAGCCACTTTGTCACGGACGAGCTTGACTGCAGGCCCATCATTGAACAACTGGTGAGAGGGCGACCAAGATCGAGAGAGGAGAGAGAGGAGAGAGAGGAGAGGAAGAAAAGGAGGGAATGTGTTCCCGGATCGTCGTCACTCTCTCCCTCGCTCCACGTCCCTCGCCCCATTTCAGCCTCATCTATTGTTTGCACATAGGAGTGTAGCTAGCAGTGCAGTACAAGTGCCTCCCGCCCGCATGTTCTCCTCTGTTCCTACATACCAAGTCATTCCTCTCTGGAACTGCCTCCTCCTTCTCCCTTTCCACTCTTCAAGCCCTCAACACCAAATGCTTAGCGACATCTCACAGTGGCATGGCATGGCATGACATGGCATGGCATGGCGTGTTGATGCATCTACCCCCCCTGCCTGCCTGCCTGCCTGCCTGCCTGCCTGCCTGCCTGCCTGCCTGCCTGCCTCCCTGCATCTCAGGTGGACCGGGTGTCACACAGGGAGGGCCTGGCGTCCTTTGCAGCCAAGAGCAAGATCCTGGAGAAGCAGTGCTTGGCCGCGGCTGTCAAGTACTATGCAGAGTACCGCATTCTGCGCTACAGCCACAACAAGACCATTGTGTTTGTCTGACACCGTGGCACCGGGGAGAGGAGAGAGTCAGGAACGGGCCATGGTGCTCGCATCGCATCGCATTCCCGGATTAATTTCGTGCAGCTGATGGGCAGTTGTTGTGGGGATGAAAGACAGTGGTGTAGAGAGTTCTCTGTGAAAGTGCACGTTTCCACAACTGGCTTCGCTTGGTCACGTGCTGTGCGAAGATTTTGATTTATTCTTTAATCAGGGATGTGGTTATTCTTAACCAGTACACTGGCTATTTTTTGTATTACTTTAACCCCCCCTAATGCACGTAATAACGTAGTACTACCACTCCATCCTCCATAACAAATGAATCATTTATTGCTCCAACTCCACATGGTACACAACAGGTGTACAAGTGTGGCCAGCCTGAACCCACCGTAACATCGCCAGGACAGGCAGTAGACAAGGCACCAGCTAAGATCTAGGGAGCATCTAGTGGTATGTTGAATCTAGGGACTCTCTAGCTGAGCTGAGCTTACTCCACAGCTTATTCCCAACCCTCTAGCCCGAACCCAGGCCCTGCCCTGTTATAAGAGTCAAGGTGAGGAGGGGTCGATCCTGGCAGAGAGGGGGCTGTTGGGGTGGCGTGGCATATCAGAACAGGCATACCTACTGGTCATGTTGGTCCTGCTGGTCCTGCTGGCCTTTTCTCATGCTGCAAGCACCACCGCCGTCGCTGCCACCCACCACCATTGTCCCCACCGCCATAGCCAGCAGCACATCACAGCACGGAAAGACAGGAAGGTGCTGCCGGCCGGGAATCTAGGGATAAACAACAGTGGTGCTAGGCAGAGGCGGCCGTTTTTCAGGGAGAGGGAGAGCGTTTGGCAGAAGGGTTCAGGGCGAGGAGGGTTGGATGAGGGAGGTCAAGCTAGCATGGCGCACGAGCCACGCTCGCGCTGTTCTCGAGGAGCGGTGACTGCGGGGCGTGCGGGGCGAGAAGGAAGGCGCACGCGGGGAGGAGGAGCTGTGGGGAGAGGAGGAGCAGCGAGGAGAGGCGGAGGCACGGGGGGAATGCGCGTAATACGACGAATGCGAGAAATGTGAGGAATGGGAGGAATGAGAGGAATGTGGGGAGTGTGAGTATGGAAAGGTAGCACGAGGGGAGACGGCTGCAAGCGGGGCAGCAGCAGGGCAGAATGAGTCGCTGCTTGTAACGGTGTCACTCCGTGCAAATCTGTTACTCTTCGGTGGCTTGCACCTGGCCAATCCACTACCCTGACAGGCGAGGTTGCTTTCTAACGCGTGGCCCTGGCAATGGCAGTGGTACTGGCAGTGGCAATGGTTATTGCCACTGCAGCTGCTGCAGCTGCCGCTGCCGTGGTTGTACCTGGTGCTGCTTGTTGCGCTGCTGTAGCTGCTGCAGCTGCTGATGCTGCTGATGCTCCTTCCAAAGCTGCTGCTAGTGGTTGAAACAGCCGACAGTAGGCTGCTCGTGCTGGTACTGCTCGGAATTCCGCTGCTGCTGCTGACGCCACTGCCGCCGCCACCGCCGCCGCGACGGCCGCTGCTGCTGCTGCTGAACGAGGACCGAGGATGAAACGAGGAGGTGGGGCAGGACTGGGAGAGAAGCAAGTAGGACGGAGAGACTAGGCTCCTGTTAGCAGCTGGAACGATAGGTCGCCTGCGGCTCCTCCACCCCGCTGTTTCTTCCCCAGACGCGCCGTTCTCCTCGTCCTCATCTTCCTCGTCCCCTTCCTCTTCTTCTTCTTCCTCCTCCCGCTCATCCTCCTCTTCCTCTTCGTCGTCACCGTCGCCATCGTCGTCTCTCTCGTCTCTCGCCGTCTCACCACAGCCGTGGTAGCTTCTCGTCACCGTGCCCTCGCCGCCGCCACCGCCGCAATCTTCGCTGCGGCGCCTCGGCGTTCGCGGAAGTGGCTTCCGGGAAAGCTCGAACGACCAGCGCCGTTGGGAGGGGCTCTTTATGGTACGAAGCGAAGGAGGATACAGGAGAGGAACGTCCCACGCGCCTCGCGGAATCTCCAGAGCATGATGGCTCGCGCTCCGTCTGATAGTAGTCTTACTGGTAACAGGCCTCGGGAACGACTTGATTCCGAAAGAATTGGTACGATAGTCGTGATCTGCCCCTGCCGCCGCAATCGCCGCCGCCGCAATCGCCGCCGCCGCCGCCGCCGCCGATATTCTAGGAGATGTCGAGGCCCTCTCGGACGAGCTGTCTGCAGCGTAATGACCCCAAGCGTCCATTCCGCTGCGGCTCGCGCTCCGCGGCACCATCGATAACCTCGCGCCGCGGGGCGTCGCCACAGTGGGAGGCGCCGCAGACGGCGGCGCCTCGGAGACGGATGTCGATGAAGAGTTTGACGACGAAGGCGACAACGACGACGACGACGGCGACGGTGACGGTGACGGTGACGATGACGGCGACGGTGGCGGCGACGGCAACGATTGGTCCATGGAGGATTCGAGCATATGCATAAACTGCTCGCACCGCACTGCGCTGAGTTGGCGCTGCGTCTCTAGCAGCTGCAGTTTGCCCTCGAGCGCGCGAATCTCCACGTCCTCGAGCGTCTTGCGGATCGCCCGCGACACCATTAGCCCGTCGGGACCTTTAGCGGCGTCAGCGCCGGCGGATGCGGCGGCAGCGGCGGCGGCGGAAGCAGTTCCGTGGATGTGTCGGTCGCAGGAAACGGGCGGGGGCATGCTAAGTACCGGCTCCGAGCCGCGGTACTCCATACTATCTCTGAGAACTGTAGAGGAACAAAACACGCACGACGACGCGGCACGAGCGCTGTATCGAGATGGCCGTGACGATGAATGACGAGGGGGGGATCTTCGGGCAGAAACTCTTCCGAATCCGGAATGTGGGGATTGGCGCAAAAGAGAAGATAGTTTGAGAAGAATGCGGCTTTGCTGGAGCTTTTGCCGGGAAGGTGGTGAGGAGCGAAAGGCCCAAACGCAGGAGAAAAAGGCAGTGATGTGGGAGACGTGTGATGCGGTGCCCCGCTTACTACTAACCACTGTTATTAGCCCCGCTTACTTCTATTGCTAGAGTGGTCCAGTCCGAGAGTCGCTGGTAGTCGGATGAATCTAATAACAAAATGGGCGTTGCACGCTTCAGATCACCTTTTTAGGCCTATGGCATCACTTCAGATCACTGGTACAACGAGCTTTCCGCTAAAAAGGCAAGATCGACAGTCCCACAGCTCCCTTCCTCGCGCTGGTCGCAGGGGCTGAAGCCGACACTGCGATCAGGTTCGGTTAAAGGCAAGGGCGGGATCAGTTGCCCTGCCGTACTGTTTGTTAGCCTATGGGGAGTGACGAGAGAAAAAGCAGGGGCGAGGCGAGGCGAGGCGACCGACCGAATGCCGACACGGCCGAAAAAAAAATCGAGGGCAGGGAATGCGCTGGCGGTGTTTTGAGAGTGTTTACGCAAATTTGTATTGTGGTTTTAGTGCTGCCATGCCCACGGCAGCAAAAGCTGCACCTAGATGCGAGCGAGTTTGTTGCTTTGCAGTTACCTTTGCGCTGATCGGATCGGATGCTGCATGAGATAATATAGCGGATAGACAGCGCTGCGAGGGGGGCATTGGGTGGACGTAAGAGGGGTTATAAGTGAGGCTTGAGTCAGCGACGAAACAAAAGTTGCTTGAAAGCGTCTGCATGGATGAAACCAAGTTGCGAAAGTGGTTGCAGTAAGTGCTCAGGCGCACTGTACACGCTAGCATGTCTGTTGCATGCGCTTCACAACCAAATGCTCCGTTGTTTCTTCAAATGCGCATCAATGCAACAGACACAGGCCAAGGACGCTGAATTTTGCGCCCCCACATTCCGTCCGATTGAACCAGCGCATTCGAATCGAGGCAGCCACCAGACCTGGACAGGTCGCGGCTCCGCTTCCAGACCTTGGCTGCATGCAGTGCACAAGAGCGCTGGTTCGGAGAGAATGTGTAGCTCACAGGCTAGCCCAAAAAAGCAGGAATGCTTGGGCAGCAATATTAGGGCAAGGCTGCCGCAAGTTGAGGAATGGGTTCTTTGCCAGAGACCCCTCCCACCGCGTGAGAGTCCCAGACTGTGGGGAGGGGGCTCACGAGAACCTCATGTTCGGACCGAACCTATGTGCCACCGTGGATTCTGTTGGGGGTTTCGATTGGAAGCTTGCCCAAAACCTTTGGCCTTCGAAGTGTCTGTGACCAATCACAGAGGCTTCTTTGATGCTGAGTGTCGCACCGAACCTGGAAAGGGAAAAAGGAATCTGCTGATGTAATCAGAACTGCTCCCACCGTGCTGAAGTAACTCCTCTTCACGTGAAGAGACAAAACTCTATGGGGCTGTTGTGCGAAGTAAAAATATATGCTAATCCGATTGGTTCAAATTCAAGCCGCAGTCGTGTAAAACATATTTTCATTGGTGGATACTGGCAATTGAGCCAGCAAGCACTGGCTCGCAAATGTGTGAGTGCATTTAATGCGTCGCCGCCCAGCTCGCGTCAGCAGCGCGCGACAGTTTCTGCTGTTTATCAAACTCTCTTTACGACTTAGGGCGCGTGTCTTTTGGTTTTTATAAGCAAAACTCGGATTCTGGGCTGAACTATATACATTTGAACCTAGGTCGACCTAGGCTCGAGTTTATCCACAACTACAAACCGAGTCGCGGCTCCCACACTATCGAGAATCACATGACACACAAAGGTTCACCTATCGAAGTTGAACTTTTACAGCCACCCCGAGTCACGGCTTATTCTTTTAGGTTACCCTATTCACGTTCACAGCCACGTGTGCGTTGCCTAAACCAGTACTCAATCTGACGATGTCGCTAGTGCGCACGATGCTAGCTGGGAGACGACGTCTTGGCGAAACATGTGACGAGATTAGCGAACATGGTAACAATAAACAGTTCAACCTGAAATCCAAACGTCTACAGAAAAAGACACACGCCTTTATTCTGTAAAACAAAAACGACTGTGGTATTTAGTTCCCGCAGATCGCAACAAACGCGAGGCATGAAAGCATATAACAGAAATATATTTTCAA